GCGTTGTCCACTCCTACACACCTGGGTATTCCCAACCAATACGCATACACATAACCCCCTCCAACGTCCATTCACTGTATACGTCTCATCCCCCCATCACACACAACCCCCAAATCCCCACGTCCTCTTCCCTACACAACCATCCTTCCAAACCCACCACCCCATCCCACACCCAAACACAGCATCCACATCCACATCCACCCGCACAGCCGCTCCTCCTCCGCTACAGCATGAAGCGCTTCGCGGGAAGCGCAAGTATACACCGCCCTAATTCTTCCAAATATAGAGGCGCATGATTATGTGTGGACTGGTATACAAGGCGGCCCGAGGGAGGAAAATGCCGACGCCGTGGGGGGATGTTCAGACGGGATATGTAGACGGTGTGCGAGAAGCCCAGCCTGGCTGCTGTGGAGTGTGGACGTAGTATGGGGGAGGATGTGGGTTTGAGTGCTTTGGTTGCGTATCGTGTGCTAGATGGTCGGTTGGTGGTGAACTGCGGGGGATTAGTAAGATGCCATGGGCGTGCTGGGGTTGGTTTTCGCGTGTCGAGTCGGTGGGTTATCGCGGTGTTTTGGCTGTCTGGGAATGGTTCGAGGTGTTATTGCGTGTGGGCGTGTGTATTAGATTTGAGGAATTGCTGGTGCAATGTGACCCCGCGATGCCGTTGCAAAACTGTGAAATGGCAGCTTGGCTCGTGTGACATCTTGAGTCATTGGCCGCGGTGGGTGAAGGATTGGCAGGGTGAGAATTTGTTTGGATCAAATACATGGAAGATGGTACATCGACGTCTCTTGATGAATCTTTCTTCGATTACGCTCAGGGTATCTTCTCCATCCAGATAATCTTCTGTATCAAAAACAACTCCTGGGCTTCTGGGTTCAAGATGGGCACAAGGGCCACCGACTGCAGTCGACAGAAATGTTGACGTCATTGATTGCACTGGATCCCGGGGTGTGACCGAAGTCGTCTCCCCTTTACAACAGGCTTGGCAGCGGTGGTTGTGGGTCCGCGGTTTGCGCTTGGTTGTCGATCCATGGTGGCTTTAAGTTCGAGATGCAGCCACGTCGAACATCGCATTGGGGACCATGATGCCGTCATATCGGGTGTAGTTACAAGGGTGGCAGGATCCACTTCATGGCAGGTCAAGAGCTATCGTTGTAGGTGGTTCGTCTCATCTGGGGCAGTGGATGACAGGATGTCATGTCTCAGCTCGTTCGTTTCGTACCGAGACTGTGGCTCATGGAAGCTAGTCGTGACTTTTTGGTTGAGGTTTAACTCAGCATCAAGCTAACTTGATGCACTTCTTTGTGTCCAGCTATCCACAATCTTAGATCCAATCCCATATAGTGTCACTGAACTAACAACACACGAAGCTGCGTACATGCTTCGAATGAGCCACCAATGCCTGTACAAGGAGGAATGGAATGCATCCTAGAGGGGAGCGCACTCTTCCTGCTAGTGCCCTGTCATCTGCAATCATAGCGGTTTACTTTTGAGTCAAAATGAGCCACGAAAAAGCGAGCTTTGTACAAACTTGGCTCTTGTCGATTCATCGTGGTGTTACAGCATCATGGCTAGTGTCGAGATGCACGCAGTGAAGAGTCCAACTCTGACCGGCTGCGCTCAACTACTGCCCGTACTGCTATGCATGGGAAGAGAGGGAGTGTTTGTCATCGGGGGTGCACCGAGCATACTGCTGCTTGATCCTTGTTGCCTCTTTTTCTCTTTCTTGGCCCAACGTACTACCACAAAGTTAGTAAATCTAGTCTGGGCGGTAGAGAAGTAAGGCACTCACAACCACAAGCATTGCACAAGGTCTTTGGCCCACTTGGGCCTTTACGCCATTCTGGAGAATCTAATGTGCCACAGTCTGTACAGACGTACTCGTCGGCTATCTTCAGTTTCTTCTTTTTGTCAGACGAGCTCCTGCCATCACGGTCGACAGATATCTGTATGCCAGCGTCCCCACGGATGAGGTTAGGACTGGCATCTCCGGTACTGATGCCCTGCGAGCGCTCTCCATCGCGATAGCGCAGACCAGTCAACATCTCAATGGTCTCCAGATGGGTTGCACCTTCGTAACGTGCCATCTTGTCATTAATGCTGTCGGGCTTGCTTGCGGCCAGCGCCTCGTCAAGGTTTTGCCGCGTCAGGGCCGTGTTGGAGATGACGGGCTTCGCGGGTGGTGGCATCTGAGCATAGGATACTGCATCGGCCTGGCTGACGCTCTGTGTAACGTGTGTTTCCGAGGGTGTCATGGCGGTGGAGTTGTCGCCCGTCTGCTTGGCCCAATCGTCCTGCTCGTCCTGCTCCTCGCGCTTGAGCTCAGCAATGCGCTTCATCAGGCGCTCGTTTTCAATCTTGTGCTCGAGGAAGGAGTCGAGCAGGGCGGCGTTTTTGGTCGGGTAGGGGCGGGCCATCATGAAGAAGCCACGACAGTTGATGGTATTGGGCGGTGCGTACGAGCTCGAGTCGGCGCTGAGATGGGGGTGGCCATGCGACTCGAAGATGATCCAAGACTCGTCAGCCTTGCGGAAGCGGTAGAAGAAGCGCAGGGGGTTGCCCGAGGCAATCGACTCGTTGAACTCTTTGACGAAGATGCCAATGTCATCGGGATGGATGAACTCGTTGATGAAGCGGCCCATGAGCTGCGCAGGATCCCAGCCGGTAAGGGGCTTGCACGACGGCGAGACGTACAGAATCCTGCCATCGGGGGTGAGGATGTGCAGCAGGTCGCGCAACTCCTCGAGCACGCGCTGCGACCAGTTGCGGCGCTTGGTGAATTCAGTCAGGGTGCTACCAGAGGGGTTCATGTTGGGGGCGCCAAAGCCCGTGGGTAACGGGCCGGCGCCCGCACCTGTCAGTTGCATATCGCCCATGTTGTTGCTGGTGACAGGCACGCTGTTCTGCATTGGTGGGTCCGAGAAGGAGAAGGCGGCGCCCTGGCCGTCCCCCCCGTCCAACGACGACATGTCCATGTCCATGTGCAACACATCGTCCATGGGCAGCCCCCCCAGGTCTGCGCCCTGCGGAGTCAGCTGCTGAAGCTGGTGCTGCTGGTGTTGGTGCTGAAGATGATGATGTTGCTGTTGTTGTTGGTGATGCTGCTGCTGCTGCTGCTGTTGCTGTTGATGTTGCTGCTGTTGTTGCTGTTGTTGTTGCTGTTGTTGTTGCTGCTGCTGCTGTTGCTGCTGCTGCTGTTGTTGCTGTTGTTGCTGTTGTTGTTGTTGTTGTTGCTGTGGATGCATGGGCAAGCCCGTCATCTGCCCAAGTCCCATCTACAATACGGTCACCATCGCTAAAGGCTGGAAATTGTGCAAAAAGGGACTCAACCCCTGGTCCGGGTCGGGTAGGGTGGGGGTCTCCTACCTCAGCTCCACCGTTCTGGTAGAGCGCCATGGCTGTCAGAGGCTGTCAGAGTGCAGCGCTTGCGAACCTCACAGTGCGATCATGGAGTCTTGTGCAGGGCAGCCCGCGATCGAAGGGAGGGGGGGCGAGGGTGGGGGATGCAGCGCAACAGAGGGGCAGCGAATGGACAGGCACGGCACACGTTGCCGAACAGGATGAGGAGGATGGGATTTGCAAAAAGAAGCCGCACAAATGCATGTTGTCCACAATCCCACGCTTGTTCAAGGGCGGTGTGGGCCTGTTAATAGTCAGCTGTCCACCTGAGTCTAGACACATCACGTGATCTTTGATGGGTGGAATCAACTCATCACGTGCGTGAACTCGAAAGTCTGGGGCACGTCACGTGAGGTCAATGGTCGGGATTCAGCGTCACGTGAACTCGCGAGCCCCGTCTGTCGCGTTGCGCCATCCTACCCGAACTTGTGTAGGCAGTCGCGTCCCCCTCCCCCCACGCCTAGTCTCACCCCTCATCATCCTGTGCATCTGCGCAGACATCAACCAAAATCTGGCCTTCAAAGACGAAGCCTGCGCTGCGACTGTGCGGCCCACCTAACCCCCCCTCTCGCCCATCATGTCCAAAATCGAACGCATGATGATCCAGGGCATCCGCTCCTTTGGCCCAGAAAAAGCAGAGGTCATCATCTTCACTGCGCCCCTCACCCTTATCGTGGGCTGGAACGGCTCTGGCAAGACCACCATCATTGAATCACTCAAATATGCCACGACCGGCGATCTCCCCGCAAACAGCAAGACACAGGGCGCCTTCATCCACGACCCCAAGCTGTGCAACGAGAAAGAAGTGCTGGCACAAGTCAAACTCTCCTTTCGATCCACCTCAGGAGTGCGCATGGTTGCCACACGCAACCTTCAAGTCACTGTCAAAAAATCCGTGAGGAGCCAAAAGACTCTAGAAGGCTCACTCCTCATGATCAAGGATGGCGAGAAGCACTCCATCTCCACTCGTGTCGCCGAACTGGATCAGATCATCCCTCAGTACCTAGGCGTGTCCAAAGCCATCTTGGATAACGTCATTTTCTGCCACCAGGAAGACAGTTTGTGGCCCCTGAGTGATCCTGGCACTCTCAAAAAAAAGTTTGACGAGATCTTTGAGGCGCTCAAGTACACCAAAGCCATCGAAAACATCAAGCTCATTCGAAAGGATCGCAACATCGAACTGGGTCAGCTCAAAATCATCGAGGCAAATGCCAAAGAGGACAAGACGCGCGCTGCCAAGAGCGAGAAGCGTCAGGCAGAACTCTACGACGAAATTGAAGGGCTCCGAAAGACATATGCGACAGTGGACGCTGAATGCGACGAGGCACAACGTGAGGCTAGCCAAGCCTATAACCATGCTGCACGCTTTGAGCAGATTGTCGCCCAGCTACAGGCTAAGCGCATTACATTTCAAGCCAATCAGGACAGCGTAGCTGCCCTCCAGGACAATCTCAAGGAGATGGCCGAGTCGGACGACGAACTTCAGGACATGTTGGATCAATACGAAGCGCGTGTGGCTACTTATGCCTCACAGTCAACTGAGCTTCGACAACAGTATAGCAACATTCAACATAATCTTGAAGAAAAGCGTGCAGCTCTTGGCGCAAAGCAGAATGAGATTGGCAAGTACGAGGCACAGAAAGAGCAGCACGACCGCCAGATTCAGCAACGCGAGAACACCATCAAGGAAACTGCCAAACGCCATGGTATCCGTGGTTATGATTACGAAATTGCGGACAAGCAGGTGACTGAGTTCCAACAAATCCTCAGTAAGATGTCCAAAGACCAGAACAAAGCCCTCGACCGCGTTCGTGAAGAAACGCAGCGTGAACTTCGCACTGCTCAGGACGAGCTCAATGCGCTCAACACACGGAAATCTGGGCTTGCTCAACGCAAGGAGTCCGCACAGACTCAAATCGTAAGCAATGATAGGCGAATATTGGACTTGCAAAGGTCAATGAACCAGATCAGTGCCGACGAAGGGAGCGAAGCTATTTTGCAAGACAAGAAGCACGAAGTCGAGCAGCAATTGCAAAATGCGCTGACAATGGCGTCTTCTGAGCGCTACGAAGAACGTCAACTCGAAGCTTCAACAATGGTACGAACACTAGAAGACCACAAGGAGCGTCTGACTGCAGAGCTTGGAGATGCTACTAAGCAAGCTCGCGAGTCTGCTTCAATCGACAACAAGCGTGAGGAATTGCAAAACCAGCAGCACAGTCTGGCGACGATGAAGAAGGTTCACAACAAGCGTCTCTTGCAACTCCTCGATCCAGAGTGGGACCCTGCCAGTCTGGACACGGCGTATCAACGGGTGTTGACGGAGAAGGCAACCAAGGTAAAAGAAGCTGGCTCTAAACGTGACATTGCGCAAACCAAACTCGACAAGATCAATTTCCAGCTTGCTAGTTCCGAATCACAGCTGAAGCATAGTCAAAAAGAACTGGAGAAATATGAGGGTATTGTGAAGGAGTCAATACAGAAAGATGACATCGCAGACTTTGACGAGACTCTGCAGCAACTAGAGGAGGACTATGAGGCAGCTTCTTCTGACAAGGCCAAGTTTGAAGCGCAGATTGACTACATGAGCAAGTGTCTCGAAGTAGCCGAGCGAGATAATTGCTGTCGTCTTTGCATGAGGACTCTTCGAGATGATCGGTCAGAGGGTTTCACTACAGCGGGATTCATCTCCAAGCTGAAGGAAATCATTCGTAAGGCAAAAGCAAACATGCAAGGTGACAATGCAGATGAGATTTTTGCTGAACTGGAGGCTGCCCGCAACGCGAAACCAAGTTACGAATTGGCGACACGTCTCCGAGATACCGATCTTCCTGCCATCCAGGCAAACATTGCCAAGCTCATAAATGATCGTGATGCAGTTAACGTGGAGCTTGAAAAATGGGATTCACTCATATACGAATTGGAGGCGGAGAAGCAAGAGGTGGAATCATTGTCCAAAGAGGTCCAGACCATTGTCGGTTACTTCAACAGAGCATGCGAGCTTGAGGACCAGATCAAAGAACTCTCTCAGAAACAAAAGGCCGCAGGCTTGTCAAGGGGTATCGATGAAATCCAAGTGGATTTGAAAAAGGTGACTGAGGATACTCGTAATGCTCGTGCGAAGCTCGACGAGCTCACTACCGCCAAAGACAAGTCCCGCAATCTGATCACGACGCTCGAGCTGAGCGTTCGTGATGTCAATGCAGAGCTACATCTGGCTCAATCTAAGCTAAAGGAGAAGCGCGCTCTTGCTGAGCGCATCGAGGAATTCAAGAAAGAGAACTCAAAACTGCGCGAGGAGAAGCATGGCTTTGACAACGAAATGGAGAGGCTTGTTCCAGAAATCGAGCAGGCGCAATACAAGTATGAAGACATCAACCGCCGAAGTAACGACCGGGTGCAACGTGCGCACGACGAGGCTTCAAAGCTATCAGATAGTCTTCGTCAGCTTACGCAGGCAAATCAGGAAATTGATGCATATGTCAAGCGTGGTGGCCCACAACAACTTACTCGCACCCATCGAGATATTGAAAATCTCCATGGGGAAATTGAACGCATCCAGGCCGAGATGACGGACGTCACGCGGAAAATAAAGAAAATCGAGGACACCATGCGGGACACTGAGATGATGAAACGCTCGATCAGTGATAACTTACGATTTCGCAAAGCCAAGCGCTCTCTAGAAACTCTGCAAGTTGAGATTGAGAAGCTTGAAAACGCTGGTGCTGAGCGTGACAAAGAGCATTATGAGCGCGAGGCTCGGCAATGGGATAATCGCTACCATTTGCTCAACACCGACAAGATCAGCTTAGAACGCGATATGAAGAACAAAGACGATCAGCTTACTGAGCTTATGAACGAGTACAAGAACCTGTACAAAGACTCTGCCAAGCAGTATCGTGAGGCACACATCAAGGTTGAAACTACCAAAGCCGTCATAGAAGATCTGGGTAGGTATGCTGGCGCGCTTGACAAGGCCATAATGAAGTATCACGAACTCAAGATGGAGGAAATCAACAAAGCAATTGCTGAACTTTGGCGAAACTCCTATCAAGGTACTGATGTAGACACGATACGCATTGCATCCGATGGTGACGCAAAGGGCAATCGAACCTACAACTACCGTGTCGTCATGGTGAAACAAGACACAGAAATGGAAATGCGAGGCCGTTGCTCCGCAGGCCAGAAGGTTCTGGCCTCGATTGTCATCCGCCTCGCGTTAGCGGAGTCCTTTGGCACAAACTGCGGCCTGATTGCACTCGATGAACCGACTACGAACTTAGATCAGCAAAACATCAAGGGTCTCGCTGAGTCGCTGTCCGAGATCATCAAGGTGCGACGGAAGCAAGCCAACTTCCAGCTTCTGGTCATCACGCACGACGAACAGTTTCTGAAAGAGATGAATTGCGCCGACTACACTGATATGTACTGGCGTGTTGGACGCAATATGAAGCAGCAGTCTTACATTGAGCACCAAAACATTGCTGAGGTAATGGCAATCCAACTCCCATTGATGCTGGACAACCCAGACACACGCTCGTGAAATGAATAGATTCTAACGGGTGAATAGGTTTCCTGATCTGTGCATGTATGTTGACCTTCACGACACCAGTCTTGGCAATACGATGCGACACTGCCTTTTTTAATGTTTGGAGCATCATTATTATCAGCATAGCATTGGTGTTATGATAGGATGTTGCAGTCAAGGAGGAGTGTAATGAGTCCTACACGTTACATCAAGATAATGGACTACCTGATCTCAATACTAGCTTCTAAACCAACAGGTTCGCATCACAGCCCTCTTTTTTCCCTATTGCAACTCCACAGCCCTTCCAATACGCCACTATTATTCCTATCCCATTAGCTTCCATGGAATCCTATGGTGAAAAACATCCAAACGCTGAGTGACCAGTCACCGCCAACTCACCGACAAAATGCAATTCGCGTCCTATACCGCCACACCACATGGCGTACTCCAGTCTTTTTCGAAATGCAAGAGCCGAGTGAACTGCAGCTGTTTCTGCACACAAACCCCTTTTGGGTGGTTGCACGTTACGACACAGTCATGTTTGGCTGTGAAAGCACAATGCACGTGGGCAACGCACCGCCTTGAGTATAAGCTGTTCCTGGCCGATGTTGGGGGCTTTTGGAAACGACTGCAGGTTTCTAACCATGATTGCAACAGTGGGTTTTTGAAATCGAAATCAAGCATCTTTCATTGCTTCTTGCACGACCACACGATTGGCATTCTCAATCCCAGACGCAACAGCGAATCTTCTTGTTTGATATCAGGCATCTTCCTATTGATATCGCGTTTTTCTTGCACAGCCACACGATCAACATGGCAACCAACAACGCAACTTCGGCCGTCTCTCTTACCAGCGATGAGCAGATATCCGAGCTGCGGGAATACCAGGCATTCTCCAACTACCCCCTCGAAGCCTCGAATCTGTTCTTCCAACTCATGAACACTTTTCAGACCTTCACGGATGACGTGATTTCCGCTCTCCAGCGCCGGGTCCCTGGAGTGACTGGACTAGGGTTATCTGCCTTCAACCCTACACCACCACCCATCCACCCCAACAAGCCTCCTGTGGCCACATCAACGGAAAACCCTGTCTCGCCTCCTCCCAAGGCCGATTCAACTGCCCTCAATGCCGGGCCTGCCTTGTCTGCAACACCCAAGACTGCTCCCACGTCCTGGACTTTGACATCGCGCCTCCCGCTCCCCTCCGCCGAATCATGACCGAGGACCTGGCAATCGCGCTCGAATTTGACGGCGATGACCCAGATATCTCGCCGCAGTGGTGCCTTGACACGCGGGAGCGGACGCGTGAGAGACGGGTGCGGTTGGCGGGTTTGGGCGGAGGTGGCGGTGTTGAGGGGTGAGAGTGCGGATGTGGGTCGGCAAGGGGAAGTGGAGACGAGAATTGCGGTTTTGCGGGAGAGAGAGCGGGAGATCACGGGGCGGGTCCGGATTTGGTGGCGTTGGAGTTGTGAGGAGGGCGCAGGAGATGGAGGAAAGGCTTGTGGAAAGGGATTCTGGGATTGGGGATGTCGAAGTGGAAGGGGAAAAGTGCAAGGGGAGGGTGGCGGTGCGTGAGACCCGGTGGGCAAGTTGGGGGAGGGGGACTTATGGAAGACGAGATGCATATATGTTATAGGTTGTAAACTCTATTCAGCATTCAACTATCAATGTACCTCACAAGCATGTCACAAGAACTAACGCAGAACAATCCCCCAAAATATACCCATTCGCGCGAGACAAAACATCCCATGACAAGGCCACTGCACGACATATTTTCCAATCTCTCAATCATTCAAACAAACAACAAACTGAGAGACAAACAAACAAACTCAGCCCCGTTTCCCCCGGCCTGTCCGACGTTTGAAAATCATCAAACTGTGTGTTTTAGTCGCTATGGGTGCTTTTAGCCCTGCACGCGTGTGGGTTATTGGCTTGGTTTGCGGTTGCGATTCTGGTTGTGGTTGTGTTTGGGCGTAGAGACATGTATGATTCAGGATGGAGTAGGTATGTGGGAATAAAACAGCACATTACGAATGCAAAACTTTTCCTGTATGCAAATCTTGCATAGTCTTGCATTTCTTCCCCCCTGGGAACGGTAGCGCTTTTCTTTTTGTATCTGGGCTTTTTGGTTCGGAGATAGCGAGACAATGGGTTGCAATTTGAAGTTGGGGGGATGTGTGACGAGGAGCAGTAATGAACTAGGACAGCAACGAAAACACACACAATCAAATAAAGTTTATCATGACAATCACAAGACGGAACCACCTCAATACTCTGGAAACTCTGCATCTACACTCTTCCGCCAAGCTTGCAATCCCCCCCTGATATCCCCAATAAATCTTCTCCCCCCAAAGTCCAAGCCCAAATCTTTCATCTTCCTGACCGTAACCTGCGAATCGTTGCCTAGCCTACAGACGACGAAAATCGGCTTCTCGGTCCTCCTCAGCTGCGCAACCCACTCGCTCTCATCGACATCCATGCCGCTCCCAGGACTCGGCGTACTGAGCGAAGGAGACGACACCAAATCCGCAGTCAGTGGCGTAGCAGCGACCTTTGAAAACGGCACATTGACGCTCCCATCGATATTGCAGAGCTCAAATTGCACCTTCTCCCGCACATCGACCAAGATGTGATTATCCTTGCTGGACACGGTTCCGGTAAAGGGATTCACCCCATTCCGTAGCTTAGCGTAATTTTCTGCTGAAATGCGCTCCTGCGGCGTCAACGCATCGACTGGGTTCATTGATCCGCAAAATTGCACGTAATCCAGACTACCCGAGTCGAGCGCCTGTGGGGTGATGGTGGCATGTGGCGAACAGGCTGCGCATTTGGGTTTGCGGGAGCGGAGCCGTATGGAGCGGAACATGGGGGTGGAGTAGGCGGAGAAGATCAGGAGGCTGGGTATATCGGGGGATATGTCGCTGCCTGCGGCGGGCTTTTTCTGTGTGAGAACTTTGATGGCTTCGAGGGCTTGTAGGACGCCCATTACGCCGACTACGGGGCCTAGGATTCCACCCTCCCCGCATGATAGGACGGATTCTGGGGGCGGCGGTTTGGGGAATATACAGCGGTAACAGGGACCCCCTTTGGGGTCGCCTGGGGGTAGAGGAGGATTGTTGAGGACCATGAGTTGCCCGTCTATGCGGAGGGCAGAGGCAGAGACGAGGGTTTTGCAGAGGAGAACGCAGGTGTCTGAAATTAGGTAGCGGGAGGCAGGGGTATCAGTGCAGTCTAGAATCAGGTCGTAGTTTTGGAAGGTGGCGATGGCGGTTTCTGGTGCAAGGCGAGATTTATGGGGAATGAGTTTGACGTTCGGGTTGAGTCTGGTTAGGTGATTTTAGAATGGAGTCGACTTTCCGTGTCAGGGGACTTACGAGCTGAGGTTTACCATTGCACTCTCTACTTTTGACATACCCACTCTGGCAGTGGAGTGAAGAATCTGACGATGGAGATTCGATTCTTCGACCGTATCGCCATCCATAAGTCCTATTGTACCGACGCCAGCGCCAACGAGATATGCTGCAGCTGGACATCCTAGACCACCCACGCCTACAATGAGTACACGAGCATTGCGTAGTCTGAGTTGACCTAGTTCACAACTGGTTAGTTCTCGTCCCACCCAAGTTCTATGCGTTCTACTTGCCTTGAAGACCAATCTCTGGCATGATCAGTTGCCTTCCATATCTCTTGTATTCACTCCGTTCCAGTGGCCATCGTGGCTGACCCTCCTGAACATCCTCTTGTGATGCATGTCCGTCCTGCCCTAGGATTGCAAAAACTTCTGAGCGAAAATCATCGGGAATACCAAGATCCATGTCATGGTATAGGGGATCTACGGCTGTCTTCCTCTCCTGCAAGGCCTTCTCCTGTTCACGGCGGTTGTGCTCTGCTTCTGCCAGCTGTTGCCGTAGATCCCGTAGCGTGTTTTCGCATGATGCTATCTGCTTCTGCAGTGATTCGACTATAGCACTCATGGCGATAAAACATACACGATGCCCTGGTGGTAGAGACTCATATGGTTGTTGGCCAAATAAAGTTTAGATGTGGGGTCCGTAATGTGGGGAGGTGTGTTATCGATTGCGGAAGACGTTTTCGGTTAGCACGAGTCTTCCACGTCCGCTTCCCCAAGCCTTCTCGAGCAGCTAAGGACGCGTGGACTCGAGCAACCATCCTCACAACACTGAAGCCCATATCGTGACACCACGCCTGCTGTTGTACAAGGAATGGAACGTTGTTTCATCGAAGACTGGTCGATCATGAAGTCTTCACCGCTTGATGCAACGGACGAGGTAAGGCTGAAGCAAGACATTTCCCCACTCAATGTCTTGCGTTCAAGCGCAGTGGCAAGGCTGCAAGACGTTCCATTGGTAAGAGAGTGAATGCTATGAACCGGCTGAGTACTATAGGCCAGTGAACTTTTAGTATGCATAGCACTCTTCGAGTAGTATACTATCTGTTGTTAATCCGCAACTGCAATTCCCTTTACTCCAATCTGGCCTAGCACATGGTATGCAGCTTTGGTCGCATGGCTGACAGGCATCCGTCAAGCTCGTGCCTCGCAGGAGCCATCCGAGTCTAAGAATCAGTCGGACCAGTCCAGCCAGACTCTCTCTGATTGAAGCCTTTGACCGAAATTTGCTTCTACCATTTCTTCTATCATAAATGAGTTAGTTCAGTTAGGTGCATACTCAGAAGTTGACCGATGATCTGGATCAGACCCCATACCTATCAGTAGCCTCCACAGATATTGTGTCATCGGTGTACGATCCACATCTATCATACTCACGAACTGCATAGCAATTGGCATATTGTAAGCGCTTGCGCAGGTTTCGCTGCAGTGGCCTAGCTTTGGCAGTTATCGTAAGGTTATATCCTATCCTAGATGGTCAGGTGTCACCCTTGTTGATTTCCTGAGATGAGAAGGACGACTGACAAGTCTAGCAAGTGTGAGATCTCCACAGTGATCATAGTGTGGCGCAAAGCCCGAGTCCAGTCTCGGACAGCCAAAACGCACGTAAGGAAATGCTCCGTTCAAAAGATTAATTGCGCAAATGCAGAATAACTACGCGAGACTGACTGTATCCACGAATCAAACGGCGCTTCTTTTGGCCATGCATCACGGTCTTTAAGAACTCCTGAGGAAGACCTTCGTATTGCGATGGATCCCCACTAATTTCCGGAGCTCCGTGATCTGGTGAGAAATAAAGTTGGTGGCTGGTATCGGTGCAGTTCAGGACTACAGTCTCAGCTGAGACCAAATGCATCAACTCTAAGCTTGTAGCAACATGGTGTTTCATGATCAACAACATTCTCGCATGGGCAATGACGAGAAAATCACGGTAACTTTAGGCGAATGACGACAACCGGCTCTCATCCACGCTTACCAGACGACCCGGTAGGTTAGGATAGCTTTGCCCCAGCTGCGGGACATGCGGCAGATCTTCGATCAGCTTCCGTGTAAAAGATCCTGCGGCACAGCGACATGTGTGTCGTAAGCAAATGCCCAAAACTTGACATCCATTGGGTAGGTAAGGTGATAGTATGTAGGTCAAGACAGGGACCTCCTGTCAATGCATGTCTAGTTCGATCTAATGTATAGCGGTCTTGGAAATGTGTGACGACGCTCAAGCTCCTGGTGTCTGGTTGTCTCCACTCCTGCGGGACAGTCTTGAACTGCATAGTGGCGCTTTTGCCCCTTCGACATCAGGAAAGGTATCGTGGAGGAGCTGCTCCTCATGGAAGCGCTTCCTTGAGCCTGGAATCGTATTATACTTGCCAGCTGCCGGAAAAGTCCACTTAGGCACTACCGAGCTCAAATCACGTAGTGATACTTGGAGATAAACAGGCTGATAAATGTGCGCAAAGCCTCTGCCAGTTGCTGCCCCACTGTTGGACATCCCGTCGACTGCCCCTCCACGACTCGCCTCCCTCACAACTTCGACTTTTGACTTTGTCATTACTCACATGCCACGATGGTCACCGTGTGCGCAAGTTGCAAGGGGTTACAAAAGCAGCTTCATAGCTTGAACAGCGCTCAAGAGACGGGAAAAGATATTCTGCAATGGATGAACACATCATTGCGAGAGTTGCGCACAAGCTCAGCTAGTTGTCGCGCTTGCGCGCTGATCCTCAATGGCATTCTGTCGCATCACGACCGCTTCCACGACCAGTATGAAGAAGACGTGTTCATAAAAGTGGAGTCATATAGATCGAAGCCTGATCAGGATGCTCAAGATCACTTGTCAGTCGAAGTGTGGTGGAAGGGGCGACATGGTCAGAGCGCGCGAGAGGATGAAGAAGAAGCAGACGATGATGAACAATATGGTGGATATCCAGACCTCAAACTTGAGTTCTTCACTGATGGAGGTATGCATGATATGTTCAGCCAGAAGCATCCACCGACGCCCATAATCTAGTAGGTTTGGGCTGGCATTAATCACTCAACCAGTCGTTTGCTTAACTATTCAAACGCGCCAGACTGTTGCTGACGTGCATAGACGGACAGTCTTCATTCTCCGCTATTGGTCGAGGCCTTCCGATATCAGAGAACCCACTACAAGATTTTGGGCTCTGTTCGGCACAAAGCATGATTAGCAACTGCCTGTCGAGCCATTCAATATGCAAGTCCAGACATAGTGGACCTACCACTTTGCCAAGACGAATCCTAGATCTATTCGCAGAAGATTCAATGAGTGTACGGCTTCACGAATCAGAGTATCTAGAAGCTGAGCGTAGGCACGAGTATGGGGAGTACGTCGCATTGTGCCACGTCTGGGGTTTGGCTGACAACCTCCCGAAACTTACCACAACAACACTGCAAGAATACAAGAAAACGATAGCATGGTCGACATTCCCTATAGCACTGCAAGAAGCTATCTTACTTACCCGAGCGATGAAGATTCGCTGGCTGTGGATTGACTCATTATGTTTGATGCAAGATGAGACTCAAGAGAAACTAGAAGAATCGTTACAGATGGACGACATCTTTGGCAACGCCTTTCTAACGATTGCTGCAACTTCAGCTATTGAAAGTAGCACGCATCCATTATTTTCAGTTAAGAAGCAACCGTTCAAGATACAAACACAGGACAATCAAGGCTTACCGATCAAGATTTATGTTAGGGAACAACCGAGTCACTACAGCTTCAAAGCACTATCTGATGAGGGAGCGGACATGAACGATTTGGAAGTACCATTCAACATGTCAAAGGAATCAAACCTAGACACACCACTTCTCACACGAGCTTGGCCTTACACTGAACGCTTACTCTCTTGTCGTGTACTGCACTTTACCAAGTCGGAAATGGTATTTGAGTGTTGGGAAGGACACCAATGCGAATGTGGTCGCATTGACAATACAATATATGATTCACGCGCTACTGATAGGATCAAACAAGAGTTTGGAAGATTGCTTGCAAAGACAAGTAGTCTCCTTGCCATCAAGAGGCCTGGGAATGGGTCTGCCAAAGTTGACAACATAACATCGCAGTTGGCTTCAACAGACCTTACAGGTTGCCCGCAAATCCTATCGAAACTACGCGAAGAAGCCCTCTTAAAGTGGTCGTACATCGTCACCGAATACACAGCGCGTAAGATCACATACGACAACGACCGGCTTATCGCGATAGCAAGCGTCGCAAGAGCATTATCCCCTGCCATACAATCTGGATACATTGCCGGTCAATGGACCTGTAGCACACTATCTCTGCTATGGTATCCAGATGATAGCACACAGTGCCACCGCACAAAGGTTCCGAATGGGCAGGTGCCAAGCTGGTCATGGGCATCGATCGAAGGATCGTCGATCTTCACCGAAACTACATCAGCGATGGATCTCGCATGCAGAGTTTCATTTGGTCCTAAAGGAAAGCGTGCATGCGCATGGTCACCAATCATGGGGGAACCCATGCATTTGAGTGCGGCGATGGCGGCTGAAGTCACTTTTGGCATCACATCGACATCGCCATGGGCATACCACCTCTCGAAGAATAATGTCAGTGTGGATTTCACCCCAGACGTTGTACCGCTTCAGGGAGAAGATGCCATTCAGGATTGCGAGACACTCGTTTGTGTTCTTGTCAGCATGACTTTCCGCAGCACCATTGTTGGCCTCGTCCTGCGGGCTTCAGGCTCCAATATATATCGCCGCGTCGGCCTCTTCGAGTGCTTCAAGTGCACGCCTGAAGGGGGAATGAGCGAGGACGCGGAGAATCTTTTTGAGTATTGGTTCCCGGAGATGCAAGACATGACACAACTGGACACTTTCCCAAAGCGAACATTTACCGTTGTGTAGTCGGTTGAAATTGGATGTTATTGTTATTATTCGTGATGAGCATCGCCTATACTGTTTTGTTCCCCTCGATACCCCAAATTTCTATTCATGAGACCTTTGTGCTTTTTACATTGTTCATATTGTTGATATTTTGATATTCGTGTTGAATTAGAACGGAATTGTCGATCTCATTCTGCTATCTACCACAGTCGCTAGTATACTTCGTCACTGGTGTTAGTTGATGCATGCTGAATCTGCATTACAACAAACTTCCATTCCCAGTACATTGTCCTCATAGCCATCTTCCCGTTATCAAGCGACAACACCAGTACCCTTTCCCGGCCCTTCGATCTCGGCGTCATAGTAAGAACTCTTACCCTAAATATAACCCCCGAATGCCGTACCAGTCTACTTGAACAACAGAATAAAAGATGCCTTAAAAACAATATAAAATTGCAGCGCAAGAAATATGTAGAGGGATTGTGAATTACAATCGCTTGCAACGATGGTCTAAGCTCAGATATGAAGTGCATCACGGCCTTCTCCCTGTGGTATCTTTTGGGTTGTTCCTAAAGTTGTATGTGTTGCTTGTTTGATATTTGTGCTGACCGACGGGGCCGGAAGGAAAAGAATGCTCTAATTGCTGTCTATATTGAGAGATGTTGCAAGGCATCGTGTATATTACTGTTATGTAGGATGCTGATAAATGGTGAAGCGAGGAGTCGCCGAAATGGTATAGTCAACATCAAAGTAGATGTACGAAGTGAGAGCAAGAACGTGGCAAGGGAAAGTACCAACGAGTAAAGGTATATTAGTTGCAAAGAGCTGCTCAAATGCCTCGGAGTTCTTGACTGGCGCATCCCTACATCATCCTCACTATCTCTCCAGATCTCCCACCCTGGTCGACGCCATACGGGGCACACACCTTCCTGGATGCCACGCCGACAACAACAGTGTTGCAAGAACAACTGGCATGAACTCCAACGTGCCAAAATACACCTCATTGGTGTTTAGTCTCCCATACAATCCATCTGCTGTCTCAGCCAACCGGAAGCATATGCGCATGTAGAACAATGCCACAGCCAGCGAAAATGCAGCATAGAACCCTTTCCCTATAGTCTTAAACAACACCTGCTTCGCCCTCCCCACAAACAACCCGAACAACACAATGAAAACAAAGAAGGTAGCTGCCTGGAATGCCAGACCCGCCAATAGAATGTTATTAGGCGTCGTCGTGTCTTTGCGATTCGATGCCGCGACCCCAATCAGTGCTGCACCCAAGATCTGGACGATTGTCGCAACGACGTCGCAAGTGATGAAAATCCATAGGATGAGTTTGGGCTTCAGCGGTGCATATTGGCGACTCGTAGCGGAGATGAGGCGCGAGAGGAGTGTATAAATTGCCGCCGCGAAGAAGACGGGCGCGACAACGATGAAGAAGTATTGGATTACGAAGTAATTCAATTTGTAAGGATTGACACGGGCGGAGAGAATGCGGAAGGTGTAGCCAACTATCTCCTAGATCTGAAAGTCAGTTGCGCACCTTGTATACCTATGAAGGGACTCGTGCGACTGGAGTAAGGGTGACGTACAAAGCCAATTCCAATCATCATGGTACTGAAGTACCAGCTTCGGTATTTGAGTAGCTGCCATCCATGTGCGAGGCCGGCAACAAAGAACAATACACATCCTAGGACTCCGAGGGCAAAGGAAGGTGTGTAGCCGTAGATTATGACTGAGGTGTTGCCGTCACCGCCTGGGGGAGGCCAGTTGGGATCGACATAGCCGCGTGAAGCCATGGAAGTTGAGGTGTAATCGAACAACCGCTAGGTATCGCGAGGAACAAGGGAAATCCGAGGCGATAGACCAGTCAAGATGAAAAGGCAGCACGGGTTGATATGAGCGGCACTACAGTACAAAACCGGTTTACAGTAGCCATATTTATCTAAAGTAGACTAAGAAGCGTATCAGACAAGAACGTGGGG